AGGTTGATACTAGCCACACATGGCACGAGGCTATAATTTGGTGTCATCTAACTGCTACGGAACCCTCATCGCATTTGACGTGGAGATATAATCATTTTAAAGACTGTCCAATTTCAAATCCCTGTGATACGTAAAAATTTTATGTGAGGAAGCCAAGCGTTGGGTAGATTTCTTGTCCTCAAACAAATCCACATCTCGTGATTGACCGCTTTATCTTATACCATGGGCCTTGGGCAAGCATCCCGGTTTAGAATCCCTCCTGCCGTCGCCGGGCGCATTTCGCTATGTTCGGGCTTCGCTTTCAATAGAGAGGCGGAATGCAGTAGTTGGGTGGTCATGCCACAAAAGCTCCCTGTTCAATGAAGACTCGCGTATTTTACCGCAGTGTATGCAGCAAAAATCGCGTCATAGAACGTCTTTGCTAACTAAGTTCAACCCACGGATCTCTTTCACTGAGGGTCCTCTCTCACTGAAAGATCTCGAGCCGGTTGGTGGCGAGGCTACGTGGCGCGACCCCAGGTGGCGGATAGGGGGTAAATCGCGGACCAAAAGCCACCATGTACTTGCCCTGAGACGCAGGTGGATTCAGGGGATGGACTCCCTGTTTCTGTAGTGCTGTGTTGATTCATACCAGCTGTCTCCACTCAGGCGCATCCATGCATGCTTGCGTGTGTGGTGCGCTCTGTGTGTGTGCGGTTGGTATCCTGCATGTCGGCACAGCCAAAAGCTTGCATTCAAGTGACTGGGAAGTACATGGGAGGCGATTCGGGGCCGCCTCCAAGAAATAAGCCCCTTGTTCCGCTCCAGGATAGCGTGGCTAACTACCTGGAGGTCTATCCTAGCCCACACGACAGAGCCTGGCAAGCTACTCGTGTGCCTTCAATATGCCGAAAACAGCAATATGGATGGGCCTCATTCCCCTGAACCTGAGGGAGCCCCCAATACGGCAGCGTTGGGTAGGACCGCTCGGGAGAGGCTGCTAGAATCTCAGGGCCCGGATAGGCTGCCTAAACGAAGAAGGACTAAGATGGCGATCTGTACTTTCAACGCACGAACGCTTGCATCCGAAGCTCACATCGAAGATCTGATGATGCAGGCCAGGAAGATCAAGTACGACGTCATCGGACTGACCGAGACGAGAAGGCACCGCCCGCTACACGCCGTTTTCGATACTGGAGAAGAACTGTTCCTTGGAACATGCGACAGCAGAGGCGTTGGCGGTGTGGGTGTCCTCGTCAACACGCACTTGGCCATAAACATCGATTCGTACGAAAGCCTTACGACCCGAATCGGACGTTTGAGATTGAGAAGATGTGGTTCAACTCCTGCTTTGACAATCTTCGTCGCCTACGCACCAACATCCAGCTACGACGAAGAAGAACACGAAGCATTAGGTTGGAAAGAAAGTCCTGCAACACTTTTTCAAATTTTTGATTTTAATTTTATCTTTTTTGGTTACAACTTCTGACCGGTCTTATATCTACCATGAGTGTCCACCACTTGTCTCCATCGCTCAGAAAATTTCTTGATCCTCCTCCAAAACCCAGCGGAGTGCGAGTCGAGAAAGGAGGCGACCTCACTTTCGAGTTGGAGTTGATCGTCTGATTATTTCGTTATAAAGATGATGATTAAAGGTCCAGGATAGGTAGCACTTATTTACAGCTCGACCAGGGGATTACGCTAAGAGAGGAAAGAAATCTTTGCCGCAACTCCAGAATTTCTTACCGGGCTCATTTCGGATCATGGTGATTCGCAATGTCATGAAAGAAATGAATATTGTCGCGGTACGAGGGCTCTTGACGAGCTACCTCGGCCAGCTTCTGGTACTCACAACCTAGGCCACTGCCTACACAATGGTGCCCATAACGAAGGGTATGTAGTGGAGCTTCTGTAAGAGCCCTACCTGTAATGGAGTGTGAGGGATGCTGCTGGCTTCTTATAAAAATATCAAAAGATCGGAAGCGCTGGTAAAGGTGAAACACGCTGTATCGCTGAACGGCATGCCTTAGAAGCTATTGCAGATAGTGTCAGTCGTTGACACGAATCCATGTTTTGTAGACATTTGTACTAGACAGTGACTCGGAGTACGGATTTGCTAGTGGTCGAGATTTTTTGAATTTTCTTGGATAACTACTGACTGCAGAACTTATATCCACCTCGTGGATTGAAGCCTTGAGAATGCTCTATCATTTGGTAGTCATAAATGTTACCTATGAATTTTTCAGAAAAAAAGAAAATTTTGAAAGAGTGTTGCAGAACTTTCTTTCCAACCTAATATGGAATTGGAGAAGTTCTACAGGAAGATCATACCTTCTTCAAGGTCATCGTCGGCGACTTCAACGCTAAGATTGGCCCAAGAAGAACGGCTGAAGAACTTCACATCGGTACTCACGGAATGGAATGGAATGAGCAGGGTGAGAGACTGTCGGAGTTTATCATGTCGACCAACACCATCCATGGTAACTCACAGTTCCAAAAGCCCCCTCACCTTCGTTGGACTTGGGAGTCACCTGATGGACAGTTCCATAACGAGATAGACCACATCATCTTCAATCGAAGGTTTTGCCTGACCGACGTCGCTGTTGTTCCGAAGTTCTACACGGGATCAGACCATCGTCTCCTCCGCGCAAAGTTCCACTTTTCGATGCGTGTTGAGAGAGCCTCGAAGTTCAGGAAGCGAAGCCCCAGGACAGTCATCAACTGGGATCACTTCGCTTCCCTCGTCAGCTTATGGGAGGATTCCGTCATCGAAAACATCGACGAGGAGTACTATCGGCTCGTTGAACATCTTCACGATTGTGGCAAGAAGGCAGAGAGTTTGAAAGTCACCAAGGGACGTCTGTCTCCGGAAACTCTCGAACTGATACGCCAGCGTGGAGCCGCACGAGCTGCAGGCAATCACCGACTCACGTCCGAGCTTGCGAAGCTATGCAGAGAGGCGATAAAGGAAGATCTCAAGGAGCGAAGAGCAGCAGTATTAGCTGAAGCAGCAGAGGCTGGGAGGAGCATCCGCAATGCCCGCCGAAGCTTTGCCAGCTACAAGACCAAGATGACCTGCCTCCGACGTCCGGATGGAACAGTTACTGCATCCCGAAGGGCAATGGAGAAAGTCATCCACGACTTCTACTCGGATCTCTTCGATAGCCATGTCCATCTGCCCACTTATCAACTGCAACAGGATGGATACGTCGTCCCCTCAGTTCTCTCTTCCGAAGTCCGACACGCCATCAAGTCGGTGAAGAATCGTACAGCACCCGGTCTCGACAGGGTCAAACCGGAACATCTGAAGAATGCGCCGCCAGTTATCATCAAAACTCTGGCTCGACTCTTCACGCGCTACCTGTCGGAATGCAAGGTACCCACTCCGTGGAAAACCAGCAGGACCGTGTTGCTGTACAAGAAGGGAGACCTGGACGACATTGGCAACTATCGCCCAATCTGCCTGCTGTCTGTAATCTACAAGCTATTCACTCGAGTCATCCTTAACAGGATCGGCAGAATACTAGATGAAGGACAGCCATGCGAGCAAGCAGGGTTTCGAAGAGGGTTCAGCACGATCGACCATATCCACACGGTTACAAGACTCATTGAAGTTTCACGAGAGTACAAGATGCCGCTTTGTCTCACGTTCATCGACTTGAAGAAGGCCTTCGACTCTGTGGAGACAGAAGCGGTCATCGAAGCCTTGGGCAACCAGGGCGTCCCTACTCAGTACATCAAGATTCTTCGTGAGCTCTACAGCAACTTTACGACCAGATCTCACCATTCTACAAGGAGGTCATCATCGACGTCAAGAGAGGGGTTCGACAGGGCGACACCATCTCGCCCAAACTCTTCAGCGCCGCTCTCGAGAACGTCATGCGTCAACTGGAATGGGAAGACATGGGAGTGAAGGTCGACGGCCGGCAACTACACCACCTTCGTTTTGCTGACGACATCGTTCTTATAACGCCGAACATCGAGCAAGCGGAGCGAATGCTGGCTGATTTCGACTGCGCCTGTGGTAAGGTTGGTCTACAGCTGAACCTAACGAAGACGATGTTTATGAGAAACGGATTGGTTCCTGATGCCCCATTCACGCTCAACGGAACGAACATCACCGAATGCTCCAGCTACGTGTACCTAGGTCGGGAAATCAATATGATGAACGATCTAGCTCCAGAGCTGAGCAGGAGGAAACGAGCGGCTTGGGGAGCGTATAAGAACATCGAGGGAGTAGTGAAGAAGACGAAGAACATCCGGCTCCGTGCCCACCTCTTCGATTCCGCTGTCCTTCCTGCCCTAACCTACGCCTCAGAGACTTGGACTCTGCGCAGGCAGGACGAGCATGCGGTCAGCGTTATCCAACGCGCTGTCGAGAGGACGATGCTAGGAGTAACCCTATACACGCAAGTGCAGAGGGGAATCCGGAGTGCCGAACTACGCCAACGATCGAAGATCAGGGACGCTGCCGTTTTCGCCAAGGAATCGAAGATAAGGTGGGCCGGACACGTCATGCGATTTTGCGATGACCGTTGGACCAGAGCGGTTACCGACTGGATCCCTCGGGACGTCAAACGAACACCTGGACGACCGCCGGCCCGATGGTCAGACTTCTTCACGAAAGCTCTGAACGAAAGGAATGAAGGACATCGTGTCCCTCGAGCGAGGAGGGTCCACTGGACAACTCTTGCACGCGACAGGGACGAATGGAGACGTTGCTGGCGCCCGCTCGAGCAATTCGATGATCAACGGGACGACAGGTGATACAGGTGATTCAACGATAATGGCCTAAGGGCAGCACTTGCGAAAAGGGGACTGGGCTACTTTTATGCTACCCCATCAAAAAAGTATATAAAATTTTTACGAGGGCACATACAGTAATGTTAAGACCGAAAAGACCTTTCACTCGGAATGAAAATAATGAAAAACTCAAAGGGCATCAACACAATAGTTGATTTATATCTGAATATTGATTGATTTCAAAGTACGTTGGACACCAGGAACAATTCTTTTTGCAGAAGAAGACGGAATCAAGCTTCTATTCAACGCAAAGCAGGCCATCCACGGCATCATCGCTAAGAAGAGGAGGCAAAAGTGAAACTAGAAACTTCATATTCTTCTGCCATGATGTGAGTTATCGAGGATTTTTTCTTCTTGTCAAAAATCAATCAAATTCCCATAAAGGGTGGTCAAAAGTATGGACCCGCTTGAAATCTCAGTTCTTCACCCGTGTACATCGTTCTGACAGTTTCGTTGTTGCAATTAGTCAGGAATGTAAGAGGAAAAGAAAGCCTTAGAAATTGTCAACTTGCCCCCTTATTGTTTGCACAAAGACTTCATAGCCTAATGCTGGTGTTCGCCAGCGGATCCTTACATTCTGACTAGTCCAGACTGAATTCTCTGTGAAAGGCGTCCAGAGGGGTGGTTCCTATTTGACATGAAACCATATGATATGGACACACATGGGCTAAGCGTCCGCTATGTCATGGCAGTTTTTTCGTTCCAGTTCCACAAGTTTCCACAGAGACTTGGAAAAATGGAATTATGGGCACCCTGCCGAAGTTGTTCATTAAAGGACGAATTCACGATGAAAAAGCAACCCATTTCAAATTAACCTAGGGATGGTGAGTGGTACACGAAAGAAGGAAGAACCATGAGAAACGGCCCAGAACCCGAGAAATGGACCCCTTCCTTGCCCGTTGATTCGAGCATTGATGCGACTCTCATCGCTGTGCCCTCTTCAACACTACGCTCTCTCAGCTATCTAATCACTCGCCACGTATTGAACTACGGCGAGTGATCAGATGATCGGTGGGCGGAGATCGCCGGACCCGCCAGCTTTGAGGCATGATAGGTCGCCGAGGTCAAATTTTTCCATGCGAATTGCGCGTCAGTTCGCACCCTCAGGAGGTCCGTGGGTCCCTCAACTAGGTCAGTTTCCTTTCTTCGACCTTCATTCTAATCGTGAATTCCTCCTTTAAGGGCAATGAATTAAATTTGCCACGAGGACATTTGAACATATACAGGGCAGAAAAAATCGACAAAAACGTAGGTCTTACCTAAGCACCCTTGAAGTGAGAGAAGGTCCGTTCACAAACGGGCGGAGCTTCTTTGAAAATTTCCTGATAATTCGGTGCTCAGACAGCTCATACGGGGGAAAGTGAATCAAGGTCAGTAGAGGTGATGCCGTAAGCGGGGAAGCGCTTATGAAAGGCGAACTTCATATAGAAACCTCATGATTTGGTTCTAAGACATCCTGGAGACCGAGAACAAAAAATGCTTAGGGTTATCAATGGAAGAGAGGTGAAATGCCGATGATGGGCGGGGCGTGCATCGAGGTGGGCGTGGCTAATCTCGAAAATTTTGGTTACGTGCATTTCATGGAAAAAATGTGTTGTGTGTAAGACCGTGCAGCGCTAACCCGGTCTCAAAATATTCAATAAAATCCTAATTGGCACAAGGCCTTGTTGAGGTTTAGCACAACTTCAGACGGCTTTTCGATCTTGTCTCCATTTTAACCACTTATTATCTCTTCCTATCAGGCGTGATTTACAGCATCTAGTAATACAATGTTCATAATATTTACAATACCATAAATCCATTCCAGGGCTCTACCAGTCCGCCTATTCGTCATGCTTTATCTTATCCTATCAACTCTAATCACTGTCTCATGAATTTAACCCAAATTACTCAGGTTCTCAACCTTTTTTTTCAGGGTGAAACCCTCGCCGCTCACAAACATGAATGTCGTCTTCGAATCGAACCAAAGGACAAGCAACATTGGCGCAATGTAGGCTATCTGGACACCTAGTTGCCACATCTTCCTAATGATTGAACTACGTATTTGTTTAGCTTCGGGAATTCGACAACGAGAACATCAATCGATTCATAGGTTATGTCTAGATGGACCGCAAATGCTTTCACTGTGGAAATTCTGCTCTCGTGGAAGTATTGATGACGTCATTGAGAAAAATTCAAGTAAAATGGATGGCTTTTTCGTATATCTGCTGCTGAAAGACATAGTACATGTGAGCACATATCCATTCCAATTCTTATAGTGATAACATTGATTGTGTGGATCGAATGAACTGGAATTTCGCCAATTTTTGACTTAATCCATTGGTTCACATAGCTAAATAATAGTACACAAACTGTAGGTTAGATTCTTTCATCTACAGGAATCCTTCTCGATAAACTAGCGATTTCCTACCACAACAGTTCTCATTGCCACTTACCTACGGCGCGTTTCGAAAGTGTAGGAGCACCCATAAAAACTGCTGTCAGGGTGAAGGATTCACAGCCTTCTGCCTAGTAGCATTGAATTCAGCAAGCTTCTGAACTATAGGCTACTTATCACAAGAAACTGACTGGTAGCACAATTGCCCGGAAAGCAAGAGATCCGGGTACGAATCCCGGCTGGGGCGAAAGTTTTGCCCACAACTCAGCATTCTTGTGATAACTTTCGCAACGCGAACTGCGGCGTAAAACAGCAGTTATCCAATAAAAACAAGTCAAAATATAGCTATTTAATTTCAGGAATTACCATGACATTCTACAGGAAGTCTGTAAGAGAGTTAAGATGAAGGACCAAGTTTCTTCGAGGGATTTTCTCTGTATACATGCTTTCTATCGGGGGAAGCGTGATCAAACTGCCACTTTGCCTCGCCCATTAGAACTGCAATTTATTTCGCATTCCCAGCTGAAGATAGAGCATTTCTGGTTTTTCCGAAAGAAAACGGTATTTGACCTTTAGGTCGTTGCTTATAATAACATAGTTATGTGGATATTAACAGTTTTAGGCGCTATCGCAAGATACGAGGCATCCCCCGGAACTAAGCCTATAGGCTTTCGGGGCCCTATAGGGCTCCTTCGGGAAAACGAAAATTGCTCACGCACCCTGGAGAGGGTTCGCGGAAAACTCAGCGTTAGCTTACATGGAGGCGCTTGGAAATCGAGATAGCTTACCTGAGTGCTGTGGGTAATCGCGATAGCTTACCCTAGAGTTTCTCCTCGCCAGTCTAGGGTCTTTCCCTACCTGAACAGAAAGGGAATGTTTGACGCGGTTTCAAATGCATTTGCCGCCATAATGCCACGTGTCTTGCGATAGCGACCTGATTGACATTGCAATTAATGAAATTTGATTCAAAACAGTTCGAACGTTTTAGGGCCTTGGTTTCTTACACCGATCATTTATTCAATATCATGGATTTCTTACTTCCAAAAACTGTTTGGTTGATGAGCGTTGGCTGGTCAAGGTATCTGACTATGGTTTGGACAGATGGCGTCTTGGTGACAAACCTTCTCAGAAAGGTTATTTTTCATGTTCTATACGTACATAGGTGGGACTCAAACACCAAAAAAAAGGCCATGTGATGGTCCAGTCACCTTGTGAGAATCCAACAAAAGGAAACATCGTGTAAGAAGATCAGATTTGGACGGCTTCATGCATTGCCTGGAAGCGCGGTAAACGTATACTGTCTTCTACCAATCTTGAAAGCTGTCATCTGCGACATATTCAACGCAACTACGGCAATTTCAGAAAGAGTTTAAAGGCAGTGAACTCGATGGTTAGGAAGCGGATCGGTTGATGAGGTCACTGGGCGTCATGGGTATAATGACGTTGGAAGGTGGCCTCACTCCCAGCGCGCTGAGGGTTCTGGTCCGCCAAGAACGTCTGGTGACGTCATCAAAATCGCTTGCCTTCCAGCCACTGTGTTCGGTACCTTTAAGATATAACTATGTTTAGCATAAGCATATTCGGTTAGTTGCCCCTGGCCTGCACGGGGAGATGTTCCAAGTCGCCGTAGGGAGGGAAGAATTCCCATAAGGCCGATGTCAGACTTTGCGAATCGCGCGATTCGCTACTAGCGATTCGCGCGATTCGCTAGCGTCCGCGGTCGCGTTGCGGTACCAGCCAATTGAGTGATTCACTGGCCGCGACGCGACCGCAGACGCTAGCGAATCGCGCGATTCGCAAAGTCTGACATCGGCCTACTTTGGAATCGAGCCCTGAGGCGGCCTATCTATAGGGCCATGTGCGCAGATGATCTGCTTAAAATTCTAACAGAAAACGCCTATGCGGCGCATATTAAGGGCGTATGAAACACTTCATCCTCCTATATCTTTCACAACTTATTTTTTTTTTTTTGTTTTTTTTTTTGTACAAGGTATCACACCCTTCTTTTTCAGACTTACTGTGGAGCGCTCCGGAACACATACGAAATGGCAACATCGCAGGATCACAAGAGGGTGACATATACAGGTGCGCGTTATGTCAAAGGGTTAGACATTCCGACGGTGCCGAAGGAGGAAATCTTTGAGAAAATCAACACCTTGAAAATTGTTATTGTTGTTCAGCTTTGGTATCATCAGTGCACAGCTAGTTACAAAATCAAGAGCGTGGGATCTGGACAACAGAAAGGAGGATCCTGAAGGTAAGCGCGACGGGTGCTAGCTAGGAGTTCTCAAATACGAACGCTTGCACCCACTTCCTAGGCAGTGTACAGCGACCACTCAGGCGGAATAGGCGAATAGACGAAAAGGAAAAAGGTACCGTGCGTTGGACGAAAGGAGAGGTTGCGAATAGGCGATGAGGCGAACTGGCGATTAGAGGAGTGGAAAATATGGGTACTGATCCGATTGACTCCGCCCTCTTAGCGTGCGAATCGAGCGATTCGCAAAGTCTGACACGCCCTTACGCGATCGCACAATCGCTTGAATCGTCAACTCTGAACGCTGCCTTGGTCCTATAGATTATTACTGATAACAAAGCGGTGGTATCATTCCAGAGATTATTTACCTTCTGAAGAAAGGAGGTCACAATGCGCCCGGATCTGACGCCACATGAGTCAGTGGAAGTTGGCCCAGCATTGGTGAGTAGGACATTTTTCATCATTTGAGACGTCATAGCTCCTACTTATACTTTATCCATTGGTAATTTTCAATAAATTCAAAAATATCGTGTTCAGTTGCATTTGATTCGAGACTGTTGGACCGAACGTCCTTCGGAAAGACCAAATATTCTTCAAGTGAGAGATCAACTCAGAAGTATGCAGACGACCAAGTAAGGATCTTTCGATCTCAAAATGAAAAAGAAAAAAGCAATTCTTTACCAAGTAGACTTCAAGGTCGGCAGGCGGCAATCGCGATAAGTAGAATGTCAATGAAAAAGCGATGAGTAGAGTGTGTTTTTGAATTATGTTCGCTGCCGTTATTATCTACTTCATTTGCCAAGCAATGGACGTGTCTGAGCTAAGGGTGCTTTCAAGGAAAGCTTCGATTCTTTTCATCACACCGTTGATAGCGCCTCTTCTAGTGAATACCGCTACCACCCACTTTGGGTATGCGATGGGTAGTTGGTGGGGGCGTGTAAGAGTAGGTAGCGGTGTGCGTAGCGCTTTGCAACAAAAGAGCCACTATCAGCGGTGTGGGTATAAGGCGCCGAAGGGTCTCAAAAACACCCTCACACAGGCACGCCCATTGCTCGGCACATGATAAGAGACAATCAGCGGATGCCAGCAACTGGCTGGCATGATGCCAGTATTTATTCGCTCAAGACCTGTATGATAGCGATGAGCAGTCCACCCTTGAAATCAGCTGGCTAAAGGAGGGTTGGGCTTCTTAGGGTCAGGCCCTTGGGCTGTCTTTCTTTTTAACAGCCCCATAAACTTATCGCGATTGCTGTCTTTGAATTATGAGGAGCGTTATGGTTGCATAGAAGCACGAAATGATCCTGTATCCTTCCAGATGTTCGAATCTCATGGACTATGTGTTCAACATGATGGAGAAGTACGCCGCCAGTTTAGAGGAGGAAGTCGAACAGAGGACAAAAGAATTGGTGGTGGAAAAAAAGAAAAGCGACATTCTGCTGCACAGAATGCTTCCAAAGTAATGCCCCACACATACAGATTTTTACAAAGATAGGCAAAAAAATCGGCGAAAGGTTTCTTTCAAAAAAGCTATCGCCGACTTTGGTTCGCTTAGACTCTGTGTTAGGGCCTGTAGAAGGGTGAAAGGATTATGAAGAAACATCTGTAATTTCACTCTGAGGTGCACCAATCGGTTCCGCCCGAATGGCACCGCATCGGTCAATTTTCAGACATCTACGCTTCCAGAGGTAGTAGTTACTTGCTACCAGTTGCAGCATGTTTAGCGACATGTAGGACTGCAGTCTAATGGCCGGTCGTGACCGAATTGTCTCCTAGTTACCGGGCATCACTAACAAAAAAAAAGCGCTGCAAGGATTTAGACTTTTTTACGGGTTTCAATTCTCACATGTAGCTCATCGATATGGTCGCCTATGAGTCCGCCGATCCCCCTCATTTGACGTCTTCGCCGTCTCTCCGATTTATCACCAGTCCCTACAATTTTGCCATGTCTTGATTTCGTGGCATCGCGACGTTTCGTATTACGAATCTGTTATGAAGTGGAAGATTAGGGCAAAGTTTAATTTTCGTTTCGACAATTCAAATAGTATCCTCCTTTTGGGTGTAATCTACGCTGATGCCAAATATAGGTTTTTGTTTCAAATCAACGAGTTTGTAAGGTGTTATTAAAGGCAACTTATAAAGGCACGAGCATGAGACCATCTGGGAAATCGATCGAGTGCGCATTGTCGTCCATCATGTCGAACCAAGGCTTTCTGTAACGATTTGAAGAGAGATGACTTATTGTTTTGGCAGCAATATGATAGAAAATTTGGAACGCTTAAACTCGAGCTTAAGCTAAGAACAGACGCAGCGCAACCGCACGCAGCAATTCACGTTTTTTGTAACCCTCCGGAATGCTACAATGAATAAATTAGGTTTATAGATAACTATATTCACAACAATTTGCTATTGCATTATTTGGAGACCGTTCGAATCGTCAAGCCATAATGGTCTATCTTATTCGAGCTCTCAGTTCCAATGGTCGTTTGAGTTTTCGAACGAGCCGCTTACATGTTGTTTACACCAACTAGAGTCGCACCCATGCCTGTGCTTCCCGTTAGATCCCAGGCCTTCGTAGCAATACCGGATTGAAACTCTGATTCGGAACTAAGTTTTATTGGCAGTTTGGTTTCCCCTCGCTCCCTCACCCCTCCATCTCCACCCTCCTTTGCCCTCTCCTCCTGTCGCCCCGGTAGCACCGATCCCGGCAACCCGGAACACCAAAGTTGCTGTTTATATAGAAGGATAAGGGACAACAAGCAGGTAAAGTGTTGTTTTATAAGTGTACGGTCCTCTAGGTGAAGTATCGATTTAAGGAGTGAATCCTTTCATCAGTCCGGAATCAGTTAGTTGTGCCAGACAAGTTTTTAAGCAATAGAGTGCCGATTTTGACGTTGGCTATTTTATACAGACCAGTCCATAAGGCGAGTACAAGTCTGAAGGAGACCTAGAAACAGCTTGGTACTTGTGTTTTGCGTCCAAAACCGACTCATTGTAACATTTCTCTCAAGTTTCTCCTTTCCCATTTCTTCTTCTCGATCATGGTTACGATGCATTCGCTCGGTAAAGACAATAAGTCCTGGGCAAAATCAGCCCGGCTTGAGGTCGATTTGCGCAAGAGTACGAAAACATTCCAGACAAGTGGCCGAAAAGCTGAAGCTTGGTCAGTCAGTTGAACCGGAATCATTCGAAAGTGTTACAGTCTTCTTTTCGGATGTCGTTTCGTTTACAACCATCGCAGCTAGAGGTTCACCTTTGCAGGTACACTTTTTTATATTGTACGACTTTCTAGTGATTTGACGTGTAAAATATCTTTCGTTCAGGTCGTTAATCTTCTCAACAACCTCTACATGACTTTTGACAGTATCATAGACGCACACGATGTTTATAAGGTTAGTGAGTCTACTACTGTAATTTACTACTGATATAAACATTTGCGGTGCATTTAAAGGCAAGATTCAGGATTAAATTGATGAGGTAATTCCACTCAAATGTGAAAGTAGGGGTAGGAGGTGGACCGCCAGTGGAGAAAAAAGGAAAAAAGTGAAATACACAGGAAATACGAGCCTTTTGCTCTACGCTGCGGAGAAGTTCAAAAGGCCGGCAGGGAGATGAGAGATAATGTGAGCGCGGAGAGCGCTAGAGAAGTCGAGTAGAGAGCATAGCAGATCAAGTTAGCGACGCAGACAAGATATCGAGCGGTGGGCGGAGCGTGTCGCAACAGGTGGAGCGTGTCAAAGTTCTTAGCGCCTAGCGTCTAAATAACGCTTTTCGAAGTAGGGAAGTGACGCGACCTCTACACTTGCGTACCTAGCGCTTCTAGCCACAGTAAAGGCTCATTAAGTGGTCTGAGCCCGAACTTTGCCTTTAACGGGTTGCACTGTCTGCGAAATATCATGCTCGAGCTCTGCTGCGTTGGAGTTCGCCCTCGGGCGGACGAAGTCAGATTTCTCGCTAGCCACAGCTCACGTCAGACAAAGCACTTCGAAGAATGTGGGCAACTATTAGATTGGGGGGGCGGGGGAGAGGCCAGTCACCTCGTCCCGATTTATGTGAAATTTTCTCTTCGACCAGTGGATCACGACGTGTGATCGGAGGGAAACCTCCGTAGCAGAATATCACCAGAACACCCTCAGAAATTCCGTATGCAATTGCGTTCTTTTCCTCGTGTCTCTCCATATACTGACGCAGTTTTATTAATTTCTGCAGCTCACTTACGGATACAACAAATGGAACCATGGATTCTTCTGGCATTCAGCTCAGCAAACCCCCGATTTGGCCTAAATCCCATGATCATTTAACGATGGTTTGCCATTAATGTTTTTGAACACGATTTCGGGACGCGTACCTATGCCGTTAGACCGGCTTCTACACGTTCGAATGCTGTTATCAGCCCCCATACCTTATATCGCGAGCGATTTCCCTGCCACGTAGTTCCCCTGAGAACGGTTCGCTGGCGATTCTATGAGTGGCTCCCGACCGCGACTTTCGTTATTCGCATATCTTTCCCTAAGTCGAACAACTCAAATCCATGGATTGGATTCTTGCACTCAGGAGTAAGAGCGACTCGTTCACGGAACTGGCGCCGAACCAGAAATGGAGGAGTGAGCGGGACGGGCTAAAAGAAATTGTTGGATTAGGGGTCTCCTGGTTTGAGCGCTGCTCTATCCAGCCCGGAAGCTGATAAAAACTATACAAGGACGGCAAAAATTAGGGTTTCTGAGCTCGCGCACGTTTCAAGCTCTCTGGCTGCATGGGACATGTGTAAACGTACTATACTACGAAATTCATCACACAGTTTAGACGCGAACTTTATGCCAAATGTTGGAGGTGCCTTCAAAATAAGAAAAACAAGCGAGTCACAACCCAGATACTTAGAGAATTCTTGAGGCTGGGCCTGAGTCCTCTAAAGACCGGAAAGATGCATATTTTCTTGAAAACGTAGCTGAAAAAGAGAAAAAGAAAACATTAAAATCAATACTGATACCAAAGTTCACTGAATAGAGAAGCCAGATAATAATGGGGAAATAGCTTCTGTAAGGTTCCGAATGAGAATCGAACGCATGGCGCATCATAAAGGTAAGCGGCGAGAAATCTGTAGTACTTTTCATCTTTCATAATTCCAGGAGCGGTTGTCGCTGGTGTGGTTGGCCTCACAATGCCTCGGTATTGCCTGTTCGGAGATACAGTGAATACCGCCAGCCGAATGGAAAGCAATGGAAAACGTAAGTTTTATCACCGCTCCGTGCACATCACTCTGCTGAGCTATCAGAACAACCTTCAAATTGACCCCTTAAAAGGTGCATTCCGTGATGGGTTGCTGGACCAATTCTTGGGCCAACGAAGGCTGCTTGGCCCACCACCATGGACTTATGACCGCTAAAATCCATAACAAAGGCGGTAGAGGGCTCGAGCTATCAGTGCACGCCCCACGTGTCAATATCCGCCCACCGTCGTAGCATCTGCGCCTCGTCCCAGCTATGTTCTTTCGTCTCTTAATCTTTCCTCCCGCCTCTGAGCCTACATAGGGTCCCTTAAACTGTCTACCACGCAGACTTCCCCACAATCAAGATAAAGAAGGACATTCAGAACATTTCTATCGAATCAACTCCCTTTTTTCTTCAAGGACAAGCAGTTAGCTCTAGCGATTGTTCAGTTTCCACTACCCCGGTTTCGCTATCACGGAATGTGCCTTTAACATGGACAGAGAGCTTCATTCGTTAGGAATGATCCGGAATCTTTTGTCTCGAAATGTTTTGTGCTGTTGTGAAGAATTTTTTCAATACTCGTAATTTTTAGCCGGAAGGATCCACCTGTCAAGTGAGGCGAACCAAATGCTGGAGAAAGTCGGTGGCTTCCAAACTGAGAAACGAGGAGAAGTCATCATAAAGGTATGTTTGAGGGAACTACGACATTTTCAAATTAAAGGCTCTTGAAGATCGATATTCTTCATGATTCTCTCAAAATCTATGATTCCCCGTGTGACAAAATTCCTTAACCAAAAGTGAAAAAGAAGGCTCCCGGTAACTTCAATATTCCAGAAGGTGGGGTTTGCCGTTGAGGGGAATCGTGATCGCTCTTGAAAAGATCAGTTGGAAAGTTTGCAGTGCGCACAAGTCCATCGCTGAGCTCCTCCAAAATTGTTTATTTATTGCCGTCGAGCTCATTTGTTGATGAAACTTATACTGGTTGGCCCCTTCAAGGCCCCAGATTCAGAGCAACTGTCCACGTGAGTAACGTAGCAGGGTAGCAGGAGTCGCGGAACTGTTCAATGAACTGGCAAAGGCACTCACCATAAGCCTTGCTTAGAATTGCTGCGACCGCTGCGACCGCTGCCGATCGCAGCACGCGCGGTGTGTCTGCCTCCTCTAGTGCCTCTCTCGGCGTAATTGTCTCATAAATTAAGGATCACCTGAATTTGAAATACAACTGAAGGAAGTTTGGTGAAAATGATCATCGCAGAACGTCTCATCTTCCTATCTTTCTAAATATATTTTGTTTAGGGCACAAGGGCAGTATGCGAGAACATACTGGTTACTTGGACGAACTGAGGATGGACATTCGCGTTCTGTGCAAAAGAGCCAAATAACGAATCACATTCCGCTACAAACCTACTTCTACCTGAAAATGCCCCAACACCAGTTGCCCATCCAGAACAAAGAAGCGTTACTCCAAAGGGTATATACCAAGAATACAAGAAGTCAGGTGTAAAACAGCAAGCATCATTTGACAGTGATTTCACAGAGCCAGCGTAGATACAGCTTCTCATGCCGTTAATTTCGAACCCAAGATGCGTCAAAGGAACATTTCGCCATACATGTTGGTTGTTGCGTGCGAAAAGAGGGAGATGTGGTGACTGGTCCACCAGTGGTGGTGCAGAGCAAAAAAAAAAACAGTCGAAATGCATAAATCGCATGCGCGCTGGCGGCATGGGGGGGGGTTGCGTTCCGCCTCAGGGAAAT